AAGTTGGGCGTTCACATCTGTTTTGATCACAACTTGTACGTGTTCATTTAAGAACTAACCATTTCTTTCCTCACATTTTCACCATTGAGCGCTTATGCTAATTGCTACGTAGTCTTCCCTTATTTCTTTTATGTGCCCCTGAGTAGGCTTTATACCACAGTGATAATCATCCGAATACTAACCAGGCTTAGGTTCTGAGATTGGAGGAGCTGGGGCCCGATTAGGGCAGTGTGGCTAACAACACTTTGGGACACCTTGTATAATTTAGTCAACCATTTTGGTTATGGTCCATCTCCTATCTGTAGGATCTAAGCTTCATGAGGACAGGAAATTGCATCTGATTTTTCCCTTTCCCGTCCTCATGGCCACTGTACTGGGTCCAGTGAACACCCTACCACTTCCAGGGCTTTGTTGACCACCACAACCAGACTTGAGCCCTCCCCGCCAAGACTGGGCCCAGGGCCGCAGGGTCAGGTGCCGTGATTTGTGGCGATAAACACTTGGCACCTCCGTGACGCCAGCTCCTTGACTGATCCTGGGATCTGCAGTTGCATCCAGCACGGCATAAACAGTTGTAGAACAGACGCTGGAGCTCGCGAGTCCTTATTTGCGGAGGTCCTGCCAGAGAGCGCACCTGAGGCAGGGGTAGGCTGAGGCAGGGATCTGCCCTTCTGGAGAGGCCCTGTTAGCCGACGGGGCCACACCCCACGAGCTCAGCATCTCCTGCAGAAACGCAGGTGCCCTGTACCTGAGCCTCTGGCTTGATAAGCTCAAGCAAAACTAAAAATCTGCTACTGAGTGAAATCAATTTTTGAACATTGGATCAATCAAAGAAAAATACCGTAAGGATCACAGAAAGCGTATTTGTGGGTGGCCAGTTTCCAACCTGGAGGAAGGGGGTGAGTTCATTTTTCTGGCTCAAATGTTTTCTGGTGGTCTCGAGATTTTCCTCCCTGACCTGCGGTCTCCGAACAAGGCTTCCGCCCATGCCCCAGGCTACCCCCAATTAGGGACAGGCCCAGGCTGGAGAAAGAACCGAAGCACAGGTTGGAAAGGGAAGGACGGAGCAGAAGACGTGAAAGTTCCTTGGCCAGGCACTCATAGAACTGGTTTCTCTTCCTCTTGAGAGACGCTGAAAAGACGCGCAGGACTTGGAGAGGGGCAGGCGGTCGCGTGGGCAGCGGAGGAGGGGGTGGGAGCCGGCTGTCCCGGGGAAGCCGAGTCGGTGCGTGGTTGCTGCTCGCTCCTGGGCCACTGTCCACAGCCCAGCCGGAGGGCCCAGACCTGTGCGTACGAGACACCTTGGCGGACGCCCCCACCACCGCTGCTTCTTTCTCCTCCTCTTGTGCTCAGACGCCCAGTTGCGTTTGGGCAGCCATACTCCCGCCAGGAATTGCTCGTGATTTAGGAATGAGCTTAACGCTCCCCCTGCCTTGGCCAGTGACTGGGGAGGGCATAGACAGGCGCAACGACACGGGGGTCGGGAGCATTCTGGGAAATGCTTTCCTCCTGCGAGGGAGAAGAGGGCAAGAGAGAGCGAGAGTGAGCAAGCGATCTTTAGCAAGAGGTGAGCTCCGTCCTCTTTTCTCTCCATCTTTGCTGCTCGGAGAAGCACAGCCACACTGAGATGGAGAAGGCCAAGGACTCACGGAGTGTCCCACCGAGCTGTGCCTTCTTGGAGCGAGGATCCAGCCTCGCCGCCCCTCCCCACCCAGTATCACACGTTACACGAGACATCGGCCTCTCTTGGGCGCAGGACTCTCCACCCTTCTGGTCTCCTGCAGTATCACACTCCGCCCTTCTGGTTTCGTATGTAGCCAGTTGCAATCTTTTGGCACAGGAATGGGTAAGAAAGGACGCGGGTGCTGAGGACGCATCGAGACGAGAAGGACCCGGATGTGCAGATTCTCAGTGGGATGTGCATCGGCATTTGGGCTACTTTAATTTGAAATGCCTTAAACAAATCTACTATTTCAATCCCCCTTTAGTGTGTTGTAATCTTAATTTCCAAGTCTGTTTTATGGACCTCTATATCTGTGTTGCATCGCGACAGTCCTTTAGGTTTCACCTAGCTGGGGCCTCGCCTGCCTTCATACAGTCAACTATTATAGCTCAGTGGCCCCCAAGCTGCACATGGGCCTCAGCCAGTTGGAGGCGTGTGTGTGGACCTCACAGCGCTCTCCTTATTCCACACTTTGCAGCTCCACCCAGAACTTCTCTGTTGACAGGAGGTGAGAGAGGCTATGGGACTCCCTGAGCGCTGGCCAGGTGTGGGGCGTCACTCCCAGCGGGCCAGCTTTTGCAAGGGAGGTCGGAAGGGACAGTCTTGGCCCCTCCGGCCCCAGCCGAATTCTCCCGAGTGCCCAGCAAAGTCAGCGGCTGGCTGCCCTATTTTCCCTGACCGGCCGGCTCCCCTCCTGGCCCTGGGGTGGCTCCATCGAGAGGCAGCAAGCCTCCCTCTGAAAGCTGCAGGCTCCCCTGGCTTCTGACCCTTGTCACCGTTCTCCCCAGGGCACCTCCCAGTGTCTACCTGTCTGAAGTGGGGGACAGTCCACAGTGGACCCTAAACTGGAGGAGCTGGCACAAGCCTGGGATCCCAGCGCTCTGGGATGCTGAGGCAGGAGGATCACAAATGCTGGCCCAGATTAGGCAGCTCAGCCAGGACCTTATCAATAGAAGAAGGGAAAAAGCGAAAAGCGCTCGCAGTAGCAGCAAAAGTAGAGAGCAGGCAGGCATCGTGCAGCCTAGGGCAGCTCTTCGGAGCGTTACAAGTTTGTATCTCGGGCAGAGTAGTTTCAGGGGCAGCAAAGCTGAACTGAGAAAGCCGTCAGGTGCCATGCTGTAACCGCCTAGGGATACTGCTCGATGAATACATTGGAGCGCCTTGTCTCTATGCCATCTGGGTTACCTTACTACCACCTTACGCTGTCTTCCTTTCGTCCGTCTGTAGTCTGTCTTTAGGGAGCACAGTCTTCAGCCAACTTTTGCGGGAGGACGGAAAAAACACCTCCCATCTTGCGGCGCCGCGCTGAGTCCCCCGGGCCCCCCCTGCTCCACGCGGCTGG